CTTTAGAGGTCACAGAGGTCAACAACATTTTAATGGATTTGTTCTTGAGAACTAAAAGGAATGGATTCATAAGATTTGGCTGGTAGCTTTTTGGAATAGAGCTAACCAATTTGAGAAAGAAAATGACATTGACCTACTTACAAGATAACAGGGGAAAATATGTCAAGCAACTTCTGAAGAAGAATAAAAAAACATAGAATCTTATAATAATATTTTGCTGGTAGTTTCAACAGATGGAGCCAACAAAGTTTGCGAGGGAAATATTTTTAGTGCAATATAATATTTAATGAGAATATTTTGCTATGACTGCTTAAATATTCAGGTGAGCGATACAGGCCCTCTTGGGCCTCTTGTTCCTTTATTTTATGACGGAAACTGGAAAAAGAATTTAGTTAAAAAAATGACCTAAATAAAGCCGACATTATGTTGCCGTAAAACGGACCGGTATTGTTGTCGTTAGTACTTTGGCGTTGAGAAGTTCAGGGATGTTATTAAAGGCGTTTAATATTGATGAGGAATTAGAAACGATATGTATGCTAACATAGACATATTTAGTGCACAGTTGCGCTGATATTTAATGATAATTTCGCACGAGAGTGCTGTCGTGAACATCTCTCAACAGACCCGATTTCAAGAATGAAAACCCGCCATTGAACTTAACTACTGAGTCAAAGGCAATTTAAGCAGATATGTTTATTGCCTTTTTCAGGCATACTCTAGCTCATGATCTTGGTGTGATTTTTATGCTCTCAGACCATTTAACTCTTGATGTGCTCAGGATCGCAGAAGTTCTGTAAAAGATCTCATGTTAAGTGTCTTAAGTATTGTAATAAATACAGTTTTAACCTTCATTAATCATTCCAATCTGGAGGATTTTATATTCATTTAACCACAATATTTATACCCCCTACCCACAAACAAAGTTTGGGGGGTATTAATATTTTAGAATCACCCTGTTCATTTCTCTGTCTGTCAATCTATCCATGATCCTTGTAAGTGATTAAACCATTTTTTTTGGAGTTATGGCCCTTGAAAAATTATCTTCCAGAAACACTGACGCGAAACTCCTCCTTATCAGTTTGTTGAAACCTTTTGTTACTTGGCACAGTGAAACTGTCTGGTATGTACATGCGCATGATAAAGGAATTTGTGACGAGCCAATTTTTCCTGGAGTTTAATGATCCTTGAAACTCAGTTTCTTGACTACTTATATTTATTTTCTGATGACTTGACACAGTGTAGGCCAGCCTTGTCTCATTATGAATACTTTCATTAAGATAACAATTTATTACAGTAACAACCCGTGTGCCAACACTCCCTGTGTCGGAGAAGACCAGACTACAGCTTAGGTATGGAGATGTTGACCTCTGGGTGACTGTCGGACAGATTGAAAGGGCGGCTGCAGATGGACTCCTCATCTTCTGGGATTCCACAACACTCTACAGTAGGAAATCACCTTTATTGACAAAGCTAATATCTATTGAATAACAATATATTGATGATTTGTTTCATTATGTCACCCCTTCAAATGAAGAGAGACATACTGTTTTAGTACTGTTTCTTCTGGTTCTGGTTCTGGTTCTTGTTCTTCCAATATAATCTTGTCCAAGCCATAACCTTTAAACTGTTAAAGCTATCTTGATGAAACCTAAAGTGTACCTGCATCACCCATACATGATGTGCAGTGCTCTATCATTAGGTCATTGTGACCTTGACCCCAAGGTCAAAGGTCAAATATGTGCAAATTGTTCAGGAACATTTTGTCTGAGCTGTAACTTTTAAACTATCAAAGAGAACTTGATGAAACTTGACCCCAAGGTCGAAGGTAAAATATGTTCCATTGTTTCCAGGCCATAACTTTTAAAACATTAAAGGGGGGACATACATTTTTGTTCACAAAAACAAATCTCTGCTTAATTGAAAAATAGCCAACGTATGTGTGAGTATTATGGAGGAATATAAAATTAGGGTCAACACATGAAGTCAGCATTTGACAGATGTACAAACATTATATCAAGTCACCTTCGTGGTAAGTTCAGTGGAACATTCTGAGTGTGAGCTTGACAGGTTTACAAACACTATATCAAGTCACCTTCGTGGTAAGTTCAGTGGAACATTCTGACAGATGTACAAAGACTGTATCAAGTCACCTTCGTGGTAAGTTAAGTGGAACATTCTGACAGATGTACAAACACTGTTTCTAGTCACCTTCGTGGTAAGTTCAGTGGAACATTCTGACAGATGTACAAACACTATATCTAGTCACCTTCATGGTAAGTTAAGTGGAACATTCTGAGTGTGAGCTTGGCAGGTTTTAAGCAGATCTAGAGGTCAAATCTTCTAATACATACAAAACTAAATGTGAGTAACTGACCTCATTCAACAATGAAACCAGTCACATGACTCGCTTCTTTACCGCTGCATTTGTGGAGGAGGTTTTTGGGAGAGTGGTCTGTTGGAAATGCAATAATGATAGCATTTTAGCTGTAACTCTCCTATATTTTACAAGATGTGGATTTTTGCATAAAGGACTATAATTGTATCATTCAGACCTTTCTTTCACCCCAATTTCGTCAAATTTCAAAAGCATTAATTGCATTTTCCAATCGCTTTATTTTCAAGTCATGATTAAGCATCCCTGTACTTTTATGAACATATTGATAATGACTACAAAATGAATTGTCCTATTTTGGATAAAAAAATAGTTCTGTACCATCATCAGATAGTGGTCTGTCAAAGTCGGCTGTCATCTGTGGTACATATGTCTGTGGGGTCGGTGAAATGCATGGTTTTAATACAATCAACTCCCCTAAAAGTAGTTGGATTTCAACCTTTGGTATACTTGTTCATATTGGCAGGTGTCAGTCCATGTTTATACATATAATTAATGAGGCTACCTCTGATTGGTTAGCCATAACTCTTCTGAACTAGTTGGATTTCAACCAATTATGGCTTGCATATTTATTAAGCAAGTGTTGACCAGGCTGTTGCAGAATATACCACTGTTTTCTTTTTTTGCCGTTCTTGTGAGTATTATTGCTATTTTCCATACCCAAGAATTGTTTATTATGGTATTCAACAGGAAACCACTAAATACCCACTGTTTATCAGCCTGACATTTTAATGGAAAGTCACAACAGCAGGCGTAAACACTGTTTTGTCCTTTACTAGATTGTGACTTCCTTAGATATAGTCATCAAGTGTATGTTCAGAATTGGAAACATTGGGAACATCTGCTTAAAAGTGTTGCTACATGACTGTTCATTTATAGAGATTAAGAACTTTCCACAAACAAGAAAATATTCAAATGTTTCTGGCTCCTTTTTTACCACAGAGCAGGTAGCCATCTTGTGACCACTGAAAGTGAGATGTTCTAAAAAGGGATATTAAGCATGCATTCAAAATCTTCATTTATATGTATTGTGTGCTGGATATAAATTCACATAAACAAATATGGTAATTAAATGAAATAATTGTGTGTCAAATTCAATGAATGTGTTATGAAGAGGTGTGTGATTTACCACAAGTTCACAATGAGGTACTATTTTCAGTTGTGTATGTGTTCTCCTACATGAAGGAAGGTAGGTTGTAAAAGAGATGATGTGTAGGTAAGACAATTAATCTGATTTTCATTTCAGAATCACCCTTGCGTTGTTCCTACTTTAATGAAAACATAAATCCAGGAGGAGTCAATGTTTTGCAGAGCAAACGTAAGATTGAATATTAAATATTCTCAATTTAAAAAATATAAACAACTAAAATCAAAACATGTTGAAGGTAAATCTTCAGGATATGGTGAATGTCATACTACAACAGACATATTTAAATCTGAAAATACATTTTGGCACATAGAAACCCAATGCTGGACTTAAATTGAGGTTTCTCTTGTGAAACCAATTTCTATTATAAATACTTACCACAGTCATTATAATGCATATTCCAACCTTACTTGGCTCTTTACATACGTATATAATGAATTTTTCCCCCTATGGGGAACCCCTGGGAAACCCACCAATCAGACGGCAGTATTCACGCACGTGATAAGACACGAAGCCATGCTTCCCACTTCATAATTCCAAAGCCCAAAAAGGTGAGAACCAAGGAGACAAGGGGAGGCTGGGAGGGAACTCACCTAATGACTGTGGTAAGTATTTATAATAGAAATTGTTTTCACAAGAGAAACCTCAATTCTATTTCAAAATACGTTACCACAGTCATTATAATGCGAATTCGACTTACCGCAGTGGTGTCTCCATGGAGCGATGAAGGGTTCCAACAACAGGACCCATACCCCCGGAGGAAAAATTCAAAATACCTTTTCTTTTGTGACACAAAGCCTGATTACGACCAGCGTTCCGGATCACGCGGAGAAGACATAATGAGGCTTATGCAAAAGAAGAGGGAGGACAGACAACGGACTGAGCAGCCACAAGAGGGCCCAAAGTATACAACCCGTCAGACTGTCCCAATAAAGATCGAAGATAGAACTCCGTAAACGTAGAAGGACCCCTCCAAGCAGTAGCTGTCATGACCTCAGCGTAGGAAGAACCATTAAATAAGGCCCACGAAGTAGCTAAAGCGCGAACCTCATGAGCCCTAACCCCTGACACCCGCAAGGACTGATCCCCTGCCGACTCATACGCAGCTCGAACAGTCTGAACAATCCAGCGTGAGATGGTCGCTGCAGAGATATCAGAGCGACCGGGCTGGAGAGACCGGAACAGCCGAGACGAGTGTCCCAACCCCCCTCTGTTCTGGCCAAGTAGTAACGTAAGGCCCGAACTGGGCAGAGCAGGCGATCAGGACAAAACCCATCCAGAGTTGAAGCCAAAGAAGGGATAACCACAAGCCCTGAGGGGAAACCGGGAACCTGGTTCTTAGCTAAAAAGGAGGGATGAGTGGTCACTGAGACCGAAGAATGGCCAGCCGAAAAACGAAGGCAAGAAGGAGATCTGCTGAAAGCATGAATCTCTCTTCTGCGGCAACCGGAAGCAAAGGCTATCAAGAACACAGTCTTGAAAGTAAGAAACTTCCGATCCGTCGACTGGAGGGGCTCGAATGGGGCCTTTAACAAGGAATCTAGCACAAGTGCTAAATTCCACCTAGGGACCAATTGCCGTGAACGAGGCTTCTCAATGTAGAAGCCCCTAATGAGAGCAGACAATGAAGCATCCGAGCCCACAGACTTGCTACCATAGAAAGCCAGCACACTAGCAATGGCTGAACGATAGCCTGCAATAGTTCCCGGAGATAGACCTTCGTCCCGGAACAGAGACAAAAGAAAGTCGGCTGCAACGGGAACAGAGGCAGAGACTGGATCAATCGACCGTCCAACACACCAATCACCGAAGGCGGACCATCGAGATTGGTAGACGGCTGAAGACGAAGGTCTAAGTGATCCTGCGATGCGAGTTGCAACTTCTCGAGAAAAGCCCGTTTGAGTGAGCCTTCCCGAGATAGCATCCAACCGTGAAGGTGGAACCGTTCTGGTCCCGAGTAGAACTGCTGGGACCTCGGTTGAGACAGCAGATCCCACAGGGGTGGGATGCTGCGTGGGAAGTCCACCGACAGCCGAAGCAACAGAGGAAACCAAGGTTGTCGAGGCCAGAGCGGTGCAACCAGCAACATAGTACAAGGGTGTAGAAAAATCTTCTCCAACACCCTGCCCACCAGATTGAAGGGAGGAAACGCATACCCGTACATTCCTGACCAGTCCTGGGATAGAGCACCCACCGCCATGGCCATAGGGTCTGGAACCGGAGACACAAACGTAGGGAGTCGAAAGTTCAGGGCTGTGGCCATTCGGTGAGAACCGGGCTCCGAGACCGAGACAGAGGGTAGGGAACCTAGGGCCACCTACACATCCGCCGCCATAAGCCACACCTGGCTGACCAGACCAACTCCACCCAGACTGACCTACAGCAGGGCCAAAACCTGTAGGGCTAGTAAAACAAGCCCCATCAGGGGAGCAGCGTGCACCGACAAAACCAAACGCAGCTGCGCTGGCACCTACCATAGGAAAACCTGGATAGGAGGCACAAGGGATAGAGCTGGAAGCATAGGTTTTTACACCAGTGCTCACACCCCCGTAAAATCCAGCCAGGGCTAGCGAGGCTGAGGCATCACATACCACCGGACCGGGCAGCAAATGCTGCACAGTGGTGTACGGCGTGCTAGACGCCATCACCACGCCAGGGGCTACATCAGGGATGCAAGGAACCCCAGGAGCAGACAAAACTGCCGGGGGGCGGTCTCAGACACCAACACCCTCAGGAGTGGAGCGGACCGGCAGGAGGCCACCAACAGAAGCATCCACGGACACAACATTGCTGGCCTGTTTGACATTCCCAAGGGAATGTTGGGCCACCTGCCCTCCCACCACAAAATAAATGACCCCCAGGACAGCGCCTTTGAGAAGGAGGAGTCTCCATCTCAAGTAAACAAACCGTCAAAAATGCGAACACGTGGCCGGAGCCTGGTCGCAAAACGGCGCAAAATAAAGCAAAACGCTAAATTAAAACAAAATAAAGTGATATAGTATTAAAGGATATGATATGTATGGGTACAAACAACGCCTGTTGCAGTTGGAACCCCGTAGACACCAAAACACGTCCGTAAACACAGCCGGCTGAAGGAATTATGGTGGGAAGCATGGCTCCGTGTCTTAACACGTGCGTAAATACTGCCGTCTGATTGGTGGGTTTCCCAGGGGTTCCCCATGGGGGGAAAAAATCTTCATTTACGTATGTAAAGAGCCAAGTAAGGTTGGAATATGCATTATAATGACTGTGGTAACGTATTTTGAAATAGAATGTCAACATCACACAAGTTTTCATGCCTGAATTAACATTTTGCTGATGGTTTTTTCCCCAAACCATGAGCACTTACAATGTAACATTATCACAAGTGGTGTAAATTTGTATTGACCAATTTGAACAAGTTATTGCACCAACTCATAATGCTCGATATGTGTAGGGTGTCCAAGGGAAGAGGAAGACCTGTATTAATGGGGTTTTTTTGGTCTGGATCCTATAACTTTAGAACAAATGATCACACAAAGCTCAGACTAACAGAACTTGGAATCCCCTAGAAAAGAGGTAAGGACCCCCGGCTACCTACTTATTCTCGATGTGGTTAATATCAAAGGTCAAGGTCATTGTTACCAAAAAGATATATGTCACCTGAACAATTGATTGCATTAAGCTCAGACTTGGTATGGTGGTTGACCAATGGAGGTTAAAGGTTGACTTAAACTGAAAATAGCTAGAACTTTGTCCAATCCTAATTTCAGAACAATAATTCTGCAAAGCTCAATATGGGTTGCCCTAAAATAGAGGAAGAATAGTATTCGTCTTGGATGTGATTTGTCAAAGGTCAATGCTACTTAAATTAGAATTGTGTGGAACTTAACTTTATGGTTACAAGTTCCAACTATAAATGCAATACAAACATTTCACAAGCACAGTCCCATTCTTATTAAAATCATTGATGCATCAACAGGAAGTTCGCTCAGGGATTTCGATGGTTGATAATATATCCCTGGTGTCTCTCTCACTAAAATCTACATTGTCCAGCTAGGATAGACAAGACAACATTATAACTCGGTGAAATCATGGTTATTCAGTTGTTTTTAAATCAATTTCTTTGTCGTCATTTCATGTGTTCACGTTTTCTTAATAGGAGAGTTTCTGAGCAGCAAAGGCATGACAGTTGTGACAGTTGCAGGCTCTCTCCCATTTAAAGCAGTAATCCATTGTCTGATAAAGGGAGACAATATTGACTTACAAACCGTGATGTCAGTATTGGCTGAAGCTGACAGCTGCAGATGTACTTCTGTCATCTTATCTCTTGGCACAAAAGGTAAACGATTGTCTTCTGCTGTAGTTTACATTATAATGGTCCTGTATGCTAATTCTAATCCTATGTACAAGACTTGTGAGAAAACCATGTCCATACTTAGAATCATTTATGTTATTTTTAGAATTTTTACAGTATTGGAGTTTGATATTGATAATAGTTATGCACAGAATAAGAAAATAGGTTAGACGATTGTATTGTGTTTCAATTGTTACATCTGCTTTTTGTATCTGTAACGCCATGTATTTACAAGGACAGATTTTAGCTTTTAATCTTATCTCTTAATACAAAAAAGGTCATCATGGCAACCTGAAAAAAATATGTACATGTATCTGTTTTAAGTTAAGATTCATGTTTTATTATAAGTGCAAAAAAGGTGTTTGACTTCAATTCATTTATTGTGTAGTTTAAAATATATACCATCACTACTTCATTCAAAAGTGTTAGGATTTATTACAGTCATCTAGCTGAAGTAATTTTGAATCTGCATTAACTTTTGTTTTACCACAGAACCATTGACAAGATTGAAGGCACAATTTGTGAACCAATTCCATGATGCACTGAAACAACTTGATGGAAAAAACAAGGCCTTGAGAAGAATGGAAATAATGTTGGATTCAGTAGACACTTACAAGGCCACAGAATCACATATCAGGTCTACATATGCTGATAGACTAGTGGAAAATAGGACTGTCACTGGTATGTGTATATTTGATTTTATCTATCATAGACAGAATAAGACTGTCACTGGTATGTTTATATAAGATTTTATCTATCATAGACATAATAAGTCTGTCACTGGTATATTTATATAAGATTTTATCTATCATAGACAAAATAAAACTGTCACTGGTATGTTTATATAAGATTTTATCTATCATAGACAAAATAAGTCTGTCACTGGTATATTTATATTAGGTTTTATCTGTCATAGACAAAATAAGACTGTCACTGGTATGTTTATATTTGATTTTATCTTTCATAGACAAAATAAGTCTGTCACTGGTATGTTTATATACAATTTTATCTATCATAGACAAAATAAAACTGTCACTGGTATGTTTATATACGATTTTATCTATCATAGACAAAATAAGTCTGTCACTGGTATATTTATATTAGGTTTTATCTGTCATAGACAAAATAAGACTGTCACTGGTATGTTTATATAAGATTTTATCTATCATAGACAAAATAAGACTGTCACTGATATGTTTATATCCAATTTTATCTGTCATAGACAAAATAAGACTGTCACTGGTATGTTTATATTTGGTTTTATCTATAATAGACAAAATAGGAAAGTCACTGGTATGTTTATATACGATTTTATCTATCATAGACAAAATAAGTCTGTCACTGGGATATTTATATAAGATTTTATCTATCATAGACAAAATAAGTCTGTCACTGGGATATTTATATAAGATTTTATCTATCATAGACAAAATAAGTCTGTCACTGGCATATTTATATTAGGTTTTATCTGTCATAGACAAAATAAGACTGTCACTGGTATGTTTATATTTGATTTTATCTTTCATAGACAAAATAAGACTGTCACTGGTATGTTTATATAAGATTTTATCTATCATAGACAAAATAAGACTGTCACTGATATGTTTATATTAGATTTTATCTGTCATAGACAAAATAAGACTGTCACTGGTATATTTATATTTGATTTTATCTTTCATAGACAATTAGGACTGTCACTGGTATGTTTGTATACGATTTTATCTTTCATAGACAAAATAAGACTGTCACTGGTATGTTTATATTTGGTTTTATCTATCATAGACAAAATAGGAAAGTCACTGGTATGTTTATATACGATTTTATCTATCATAGACAAAATAAGACTGTCACTGGTATGTTTATATTTGATTTTATCTTTCATAGACAAAATAAGACTGTCACTGGTATGTACATATTTGGTTTTATCTATCATAGACAAAATAAGACTGGCACTGGTATGTACATATTTGATTTTTTATGCCCCCGCCATAAAATGGGGGGGGGGGGGGGGCATATAGTGTTGCCCATGTCCGTTCCGTTCTGTCCCGTCCCGTCCTGTCCCATCCCATCCCATCCATGAACGGGGGCTTTTATGCTTACAGACATTTTCTAGTTCTTTCATGGGTGGAGGGTTTGAAGTCTGAAGTCTGAACCCTCGATGGTCAGATTCCTGAATGTCTTACCCTTGGGTTGAGGCTAGTTACAGGTTAGACAATCAAGAATGTCACTTGTCTGGTCCGGTGGTGGAGTGGTTAATGAAGGCATCTGAATATCTATGATCATTAAACCTCTTAGTTGTGGATTTGAGACCTTCGTGGGGTGGTGGCCTGAGGTACTGACTAAATGGTTGGCGACTTTTCTTTGAGTTATCCAGTTTTCCTCCACCACCAAAACCTGGCATGTCCTTCAATGACCATAGCTGTTAATTGAGCGTAAAACAAAAACAAACAAACACCTCTCTGGTTGAGATTTCATTGTTATACCATCATGTTGTAGAACAGGAATAAGTTAGTATGTAGAGACCAATATTTCTACCCCATACGACCGAGATATCCACACTTCCGGTCAGGGAAAGATATTTCTGTCTTACCCTGGGTAAAGATCGGGGATTCCCCTGTCATAATTTACCATTTGTATTTGATGTGAGAGAAAAGTAAATCATTCCCCTCTTTAGGAGAAAGACAGTAAATACTCAATCCTCTTGGTATGATTCTTAAAAGTCTGGCCCTTGGCAAAGTCCCGGGCTAGACATTTTGAGATTTTTCTGTCATACTTCCAAGGTGGGGAAAGATTAATCTTAAGCTACCAGGATAGGCCCTGGGGTCACTCAATACCCGCCCTGTGAGGACTTATAGTCTTTGTGTCTCAATATGGAAATGGTTGGGATCCCAATACTATAAAATATATCTATATATACAATTGATGTACATGAACAAACTAATACAGGTCTAATCATTGGCCTCTGAGGCACAACAATGGCGGTTGAGATCCCCTCCATATAACAATATGTACAATTATATTATCAAGCGTGAAGATTTTGATACATACATGCTTCCAGGGTTGACTCTGTGGTCCAGCCCCAACCCTGGGAAAGTTTACAACTTTTAATGAGAGTATTTTACTTAAATATCAAGGTAAGTCATACAGGCCCTCGGGACCTCTTCAGCCAGTGTTTATAGACCAAATTTGATGTACCTTTTGTACAAAAAAGTCATTCTATCAGATGAAAACAATACATTATCATTTTTCATGGACAGGTGAAGAGCCCTTAGGAGCTACTGGGGGTGTCCAGACCAGGAGTATGACAAGGGAGACAAATGCTCAGCAAAGATCTGCTGGAAACTCCACAAAGAGAAATTTGTTAGTTGCTGGCAAATTGGACAGCATTGAGAAAGCCATTCAACAATTGAAAAACAAAATCAGCAATGTTCAGGTTTTTACCCTCTTACAAACTGCTTCTTTTTTGTTCTATATTGTTCGTCCATAGTAAGGCCCCCGTCAGAGATACAGATGCTGTATAGTAATGTTGTTAGTCCATAGTAAGGCCCCTATCAGAGATACAGATGCTGTATATTAATGTTGTTTGTCCATAGTAAGGCCCCCGTCAGAGATACAGATGCTGTATAGTAATGTTGTTTGTCCATAGTAAGGCCCCTATCAGAGATACAGTTGCTGTATAGTAATGTTGTTTGTCCATAGTAAGGCCCAGTCAGACATACAGATGCTGTATAGTAATGTTGATTGTCCAAAGTAAAGGCCCCCGTCGGAGATACAGATGCTGTATAGTAATGTTGTTAGTTCATAGTAAGGCCCCAGTCAGAGATACAGATGCTGTATAGTAATGTTGTTTCTCCATAGTAAGGATCCCTGTCAGAGATACAGATGCTGTATAGTAATGTTGTTAGTCCATATAGTAAGGCCCCTGTCGGAGATACAGATGCTGTATAGTAATGTTGTTAGTTCATAGTAAGGCCCCCATAGGGCCCATAGGTAGGGATTATTACTTAAGTTCAAAAGTTTATTAGGGCCCCGTATCAGAGATACGGGTGCCCTATAGTAATCACTCTGTCTGTCTGTCTGTCTGTCGGTCCACAAATTCTGTTTCTGGCTGATAACTTTAGTATTTATTGACCAATGTACATGAAACTTGGTCAAGATGTTTAGTTTACAAAAATACACATTGAGATTAAAAGTCTAGGTCAAAGGTCAAGGTCATTAGGTTCAAAGGTCAAGATCAAATTTTACATCTTTTCACTGATGAACATTTTGTTATGACATTATGAAGCAAAATTGATCAGAATTAAACAAGGAGTCAACTGACCAAATGTCAAGGTCATCGGGTCAGGGGTCAAGGTCAAATTTTGTAGCTTTTCACTGGTGAACATTGTGCTGACATTATGGAGCACAGTTGTTAGGAATTAAACAAAGGGACACACTCAGGTAAAAAGTCAAGGTTATTAGATTGAAAGCTCAAGGTCAAATTTTGCATCTTTTCACTGATAAAAATTTTGTTAAGTCATGATGAAGCAAAGTAGATCAGAATTAAACAAAGAGTCAACTGACCAAAGGTCAAGGTCATTGGGTCAAAGGGCAAGGTTAAATTTTGTATCTCTTCACTGGTGAACATTTCGCTATGACACTATGAAGCAATGTAGTTCAGAATTAAACAAGGAGTCAATTGACCAAAGGTCAAGGTCACTGGGTCAAAGGTCAAGGTTAAATGTTGTACCTTTTCCCTGATGAACATTTTGTTATGACATTATGAAGCAATGTTGTTCAGAACTTAACACAGAGTCAACTGACCTTAGGTCCAGGTTACGGGGTCAAGGTCAAGTTTTGTATTTTTCACTGATGAACATTTTGTTATGATATTATGAAGCAAAAATGGTCGGATTTAAAGAATAAGTCAACTGACCAAAGATCAGGGTCGCTGGGTTAATTGTCAAGGTCATTTGGGTCCAAAGGTCAAAGACAAAGTGGATCTCTGACTTTGACCCTGGCTCTTGATTGAGGAGGTATATAAGGTTTAATAAAAGAAATCAAAGCTAAGCAAATGAGTATTGCACCGGTATTTACATTTCTGTTAGCCCAGCAAATATGGAGGTGGAAGGAAACAAGACTCACACCATAGTACATGTAAAATGTATATTTTGCTTCCTTGCGATTCTTTTTGGAGTCCAAATAGCAAAAGTCAAGCTCAGCTATATGGGCAGATTGCTTCTTGATGATTATGGGGGATATATTGCCACAAGACGGGGCCCTTACTGACCTGTCAGTGTTCTAGTTTATCTAAAGAGATTCTATTTTTTTCAATTTTCAGGCACAATATCAGACTGAACTGACGCCCTCTCCAACTGGTACCACCATTGATCAAAACTCGCCTAAACCAGAGCGGCCTCCACGCCGATCCAAACCTGTGGGAGGTAAATAATTTTGCAAATTCATTTCAAACTAATTAGTAATGTTAGATTTTCAGAATTGTTCATCAAAGGTCAAGATCACTAACTAAAAATAGAATTTCAATGAGCATATAACCTGTATACATTTCAATGAATGACTGCACAAAGCTATGATTTCCTGTACGAGTAGGTTAATTACCCTAGGGAAGAGGAAGACCTCAATGATTTTGGGTCTCTTCAGATTCATCAAAGTTCAAGGTCACAGTAACAAAAACTAAAATGTTTTTTTCTTGGTATGTAGGTCGCCATAGAAAAGGAAAGAAAAATACTATTAATTTTGGATGCAGCTTGGCAAATATCAAGATCACTGTCAATAGACCTAGAATTGTTAAGAAAATCACTTTTCGGTAACAAGTTCAAGCTAATTGCAAAATCAAATGTTTCACAAGCACAGCCCCTTCCTAATTGAAATCGATAATAAATGTTTCCCAAAGATTTTCATTGTGATATGCTTACATTAGAGGATGTCTTTTCCCTTATCCTTTGGAAACATGAAATCCAATTAGGTAATATAAGGTCATGATCACTGTATAATACTAAGCAGGTAATATGATATCATAACTGTTTAAATACCAGGCAGGTAATATGATATCATAACTGTATAAATACCAGGCAGGTAATATGATATCATAACTGTATAAATATATACCAGTCAGGTAATATCAGATCATCACTGTTTAATACCAAGCAGGTAATTTGATATCATAACTGTATAATACCAGGTAGGTAATATGAGATGATAACTGTATGATACCATGCAGGTAATATGAGATGATAACTGTTTGATACCAAGCAGGTAATATCAGATCATAACTGTATAAATACCAGGCAGGTAATATCAGATCATAACTGTATAAATACCAGGCAGGTAATATGATATCATAACTGTATAAATACCAGGCAGGTAATATGATATTATAACTGTATAAATACCAGGCAGGTAATTTTATATCATAACTACCGTAAAAACCCATGTAATTTGCGCACCTGTGTAATTTGCGCAGGTACTTTTTGAGGCTGAAAATCGGGAAAAAAGCTTCTACTCGAATATTTTGCGCACCGAAAAAATCTGGAAAAAAACCCATGTTCATGCTCTGAAAATCGATCTCTGAATATTTTTTTTAAAAATATATTTCTATGATTTATTTTTCATTGATGTAAAATGATATTTAAAACCAAGAAGAAACTACGTAAAATGTGTAGTTTGTGGCTTGTTTTCTTTGAATTATCTGATCACACATGACACACACGTGTCCGCATATCGGCATACATCAATTCATTTTAGCAATATTTTACATAAAACATTTACTTGCTTACAAAAACATATCAATTAATAAGTAATTCGATGTTTAGTAACCGCTGGTGCATATCTCCTGGTGAAAGACATAATTAGATACCTTTTATTGATCATAATTACGATCAGTGAGAAGGGCTCATCATGGCGGCTTGGGTTACGTCACTTCAAACCAGGTCATGTCACAGTTCAGTTTGGCCACGGAATTAGATTATCTAAGTCCGTGGTTTGGCGATATTTTTTACAAATTACAATGCAGTAATTAGCTAACACTATCTCTGTGATTACCCGTTAACAATAGCTCTACTAATTGAAATGATTTGCAGTCGCGATCGACGGACCGTGTTGTTGTTTTTTCACTCACCAACACGTGGCGTGAATTACGAAGCCCTACTGCATTGTCATAACAACAGACTGATTTGACTGATAAGGGATTATAAAAAATATGTTTATACTAGAAGCGTGGACAATCAATACATCCTCTTCAAATCTACTCCAAGGAAAAAAATAGTTAACGCAGACTATTTTTACGATGCTTCATTTAATAAATATTCAAATAATTCACGAGGTTATTATCAATCATGTGTTTACGTAATGTTAGACGCGAGATCAACATGAAAGTGAGCCGTGAAAATACCCATGCTTTACGTTTATGCATAGGCGATTTGAAAAAACCTTACAGAACTTACATGGAACGGAGCTTAAATTGAACAACTACATTTTCGTAACAGTATGGGGAAACGCACCGAGATGTCGAAATGTAATGTCGTAAGTTGATCGGCGATTCTCTGGCATAGGAATTTGGCTAAACTTTTTTTGTTAACGGTTACCTATTTAATAATACTTTTCACATAAACTCACGTAACAACACATTATGTATCTTTTATTAATGTTTGACATAAATAAATTTGTTGACCGTCATTTGTCTTAGAGTTCCGTGTAAAATAAATAAGGGAAATAATCCAAGATGGCGATCTCCCAGAATCGTCGATCTTTTCCTGAAAAAAACTTGAAATTTTCTATACCTGTGTATTTTACGCACCCCCCACTTTGGGTATTAAATTTCTGGAAAAAAACTGCGCAAATTACATGGGTTTTTACGGTATATAAATACCAGGCAGGTAATATGATATCATACCTGTATAAATACCAGGCAGGTAATATCAGATCATAACTGTAGAAATACCAAGCAGGTAATATGATATCATAACTATATAAATACCAGGCAGGTAATATCAGATCATAACTGTATAAATACCAGGCAGGTAATATCGGATCATAACTGTAGAAATACCAAGCAGGTAATATGATATCATAACTGTATAAATACCAGGCAGGTAATATGATATTATAACTGTATAAATACCAGGCAGGTAATATGATATCATAACTATATAAATACCAGGCAGGTAATATCAGATCATAACTCTATAATACCAAGTACGTAATATAAGATCATAACCTTATAATACCAAGCAGGTAATATGATATCATAATTGTATAATACCAAGCAGGTAATATAAGATCATTACTGTATTATATAGAGCTGGTTATATGAGATTATTACTGTATAATACCAAGCAGGTAATATAAGATTATAACTGTACAATACCAAGCAGGTAATATGAAACATAACTGATTAGGATCTATATTTTCACTACCAGTATAATAAACCGAAAATATTTCTCATATTTCCGTACATTTACTGAGACTTTTTTTTATTAGATACTAAACCAGCACCAAAGGGTAGCGGAGCACAGGATGATGACAGTTCTTCACCTGTAACTGAAAGGTAACGATTACTTGTACATTGTAAGGCTGAGCTGTTTATGGTATCAATTCATTATAGGGCTACTCAGTAATAGCATGAGAAACCATTACATGTGGATAATGCTTACTGAATAGGGATTTGATATTTGAATGATGGCCATCTCCAGGTTCTACTAGACACCCTTTAATGGGGCAGAAGAACCAGGGTAGGGCCAAATAAAGGAAATATATTAATTTTTCAAATAATACCCCTTCAGCTAGTGTATAAAAATTAGAATAAAGTTAGGTCTAAAGCATCCCTAGGGTAAGGGTACTCTGATATAAAAGTAGAGTAGACATGTAAAATGAGATCCCTACCCTATACCTGCTTTGTGGAGTTAAAAACTGAAACAAAATCATGACTCTAGAATTGGCACAGGTATTTTGCCCCACTACTACCATACATTTTAGATGGTACCGTGCGCCAAAATTTGGCATTTGTTGCTCATAATTATATAAAATTGGGTGGTTAAATTTTGGTGTTTGATGTCCCTCCCTGTGTGGTAAATTTTGGTGCTTTCTGATACTTATACTGTAGTTAATTTTTGGTTTCATTATTGGGTTACGCTAAGTTGGGCTGCTACATTTTGTAAGTGACACGACTTGATCAGCTACAGCCTTTGTTTACACAAGTGTTCACCACTGAAAACATGTCAGTATGGTACAAGTTGTCTTCAGATTTCATAAATACACAACTTCTTGTATAACCTTTCACCTTGCTACACAGGAGAGCATGCGTTTGTAAGACCTGTATACACATTAACATAACTAATACAACAATGGATGTAAACTCACTTGGAAGTTATGAAACCTTCAGATGAAAGCACCTTCATTAACATGTAATTTCTGCCAGAAAAATAAGCAATTTCAATATTCAATTATATGTAAAATATAACCCACGGAAGCTAGTATTTGATGTGTAACGGATCACGTCCTTCGTCCTCCACCATTGTCCTTCCGGGTTCTAGCGTAAAGTGACGTTTGATATCTTTGGAGACTGTAGTGCGACAAAATACCAAACACTCAACTGACAGTTTCCAACGTTTATTAGCACTACAGGCAACATTTACAAAATATGTCTTAGTTTAAACAATAAACCCCTGCGCCACACTCTGTCAAAGGCCTTGCTTATGTCACAAAACACAACCCGAACCTCCTTATCAACAGCCTGGAAAATAGTGTTTATTATATCAGTTAATTGATAGGCTGAAGAATCTTTTGGAGTGAACCCAGACTGGTGTATAGTAATACAATTATTTTCATGGAGATAATTATAAACATGTTTAAATACACACTTTTCAAATACTTTTGCTACACAACTTAAGAGAGATATTGGTCTATAATTTGAGACTAAGGGTCTATCACCTTTCTTGAATACAGGAATAACGTTTGCTATTTTCCATGATGAAGGGAATATATTTGATACTAAAGACTCGTTGAATAAGTTTGAAAGTGGAACAGACAATTGGTGACTAGCTTCTTTTAGTAGCTTAGGGCTTACCTGATCAGGACCACTAGCTTTATTAACATTAATTAGTTTAAGAGCATCTTCTACATCAGTTGGGGATATATGTATGTTTTCTAAAATGTATGGTGGTATTTGATGTTGTGGAAGTGTTGTATTTGTATCATCAATATTTGTTTGTTCACAGAAGAAGTTGTTAAATATATCTGCCTTTTCACTAGCCAAGCAATGCATTGTATTGTTATGTGTAATGGGTGGATATTGACTGTCAGTAGTTTGCTTAAAAAACTGTTTTGCGATTTTCCACCAGCTACGTGGACTCAAATTTCCCTCTTGTAGTTTGTTGCTGAGTTTATTCATATAATCAATCTTTGCCTTACGAATTAGAGAAGTCACTTCATTTATTTTTGTTCTGAATTCTGCCCAATGTGCTGCTGTGTTGTTGATTTTAGCTGATTTGTGTGTACGATTTCTGTTTCTAATTTGTTTTCGTATTTCATTGTGCATCCATGGCTTATCATTTGATTGTATAAAGTATGTTAATGATTTGATACTGAGGGTCATAATATAGAAATGATTGAGGTCCCATCCTAAAATCATATACACAGATTATTAACAAAGACCTCATCCAAGGTTGCTATTTCACAGTCTTGGTCATAGAACCTGGGAATAAGTTGTTGTCATTAATGGATAAGTGTAGCTCCCCAAGGGGGATGTAGTTTATGTAACAAAAACAAAGGGGAAAAAAAACATGTGAGCTTTACTGGCCCATAGGGCCTCTTGGTTTCAGATATTGATTGAATGTTTTCTAATTCTTTTTACCTTGATTCAGCACAATTCTTAAAAAGACAGAATATGAAGAAAGGCGCCTGGTACTAAAATCCAGACCTCCTTTAACACTGGACAAATCTAGCGTGGAAGTCTGGTTGAAGAAAACCGGTTCTGAGCAGTTTACAGTTGTTTGGCCATTCCTGCAGGACACAGAAGCACTCATCATATTCCAGTCTGTAAACGGTAATATTTTGGATTTATAGAATACTCTATCCATGAATTGATGTTCAAGATTTAAATATGCTGTGTCTGGCAAAAAGCAAGGAACGTTATAACTTATATGCTAGAGTACATGTTCTGTGTTAATTATTTAACAGTCAAGTTTTAGCAGGATCTTACTGTGTTGATTGCCTTATTCATTGGAAGGTGTGTCACATGTAACAACATTCTAATCAGGTTCATATGTTCCAAGGTGGGGGTTACAACAAGGGGTCAAAGTTCAAATAAATTTTATACTTTAGTCCATTTCTTCTGAATTACTCAATTATTTAATAGATTTGAAGAATCTTTTGAGTTTCATGACTTGACAGTGTGTCACATTCCTATCCAAACTTCAAGGTCACTAATTATAAGTGATCACCTGAAGTCAAGTCATTGTAATGAAACCTTAGTATAGGTATAAAGCAGATCCACTTCATTGACTAACTTAAGGTTAAGCTTGACTTTGGATTTTCTCATAAAATACTAGATGTGTATGTTATGGATGGATAGTCAGGTTTGTTGAAGTTACTCCCCAGGACTGAACGGGGAAATCAAATCATGACAATGTGAAAGGAAAGGCTGGGGGGTTTACTTTGTATCACAGGATCATTGACACTCATTGAATTGTTTTACCCCTCACAGCAAAGTTAGGGGAGGGGGTGATTGTACTGGAATCAGGTTGTCTATCTGTATATCCCCCTGTCAGTCCATATCTACACAAAGATGTACTCTATATCTACACAAAGATGTACTCTATATCTACACAAAGATGTACTCCAAAAGTACTGCACCGATTTGAATGATACTACGTACATAGAACAATTACATTAATGGAATGTGAATACAGTATATAAATCAGATTTACACATTATTCACGCTACTCCTCCCAAACTATGGCACAGATTTAAATGATACGATACACATAAGACTAACATTGAAGGGATGTAAATAAAAAATATAAATTGGAGTTATGTCCCAAGTTTATGAAGTTATAATGCTCCTTTGTCTAAAAACTTGCCTGAAAGAATTCTGGTGACAGATTAAATTGCACATTCACAATAGTTGTATTGTATAAGAAGTATCTTTGTAAGTGAACATCAAATACCTTGACTTGAGTCCTTCTTATGCACTGATAAGCATCATATAGATGGAAAATAACCTTCTCATATTGTATGCATGTAATTAAGTGAAAAATAATGAGAAGAAATACACTTTTCAATGACAGTATCACTGATTGTCCTCATTTTGACTTTCAGATGCTAAGAAACTGTTGAACAAACCCAGTGATCAATATACTGTGAATGAATTCCCTGGCCAGGTAATATAACTCGACCTCAGAGTATGCATTTTAACTCGTCAACTATCTGATATTGCCATTACAACTGTCAATTATCTGTCTATTTGTCACTTCTAGGAAAGCATCTCTGTTATTGTGAATGATTTCAAGGAAGTGTGAAATTACTAGTGAAATATATGAAAAGTGGTATTACTTGTGAAATATGTTAAAAGTGAAATGATGTGGAATATATATGTTATAAGTGATATTACTGGTGTTTATGTTAGAAGCGATATTGTCGTGAATTTGCTGTGTGCTATTGCACACCGTCACAACATGTAGTTGGGAACTGCTCTCAGGTCCCATAATCCATAAGAATAGGTGGAGGAAAATTACTCATGTGTGTTCAAGTTGAAGTCAGAATGTTAAGAGACAGTGCCAATACGTCACAGCGAGGTTGTCGGCACTGTTAGCGATCTAAGAGAGATAGCTCTCCCTAAAATTCACCACACTCCTCGATGTGGTCTTTCTTGAAGTAGCAGATCTTCTGGTGTTGTTCAAGATGCTGGAGATGATTGTTCTCTGGTGGATTTGGACAAGGTCGGGTCACCCCTTAATCATAGGTGACCGTTAGCAGGAACACAGTTTCACCGTGCCCAGTAGTTGAAGTTTGGGCCCATTGATCTATACTTAATAGATCTAATTCTGTTGATGGGCTTAACTTAACTGTGCCCGCCTTCAAGGTACAGGACCATTACAGGCATACCGTGCCCTTACCAGGTATTCAGACATGTATGTCTGAAGTTTCAAAAGTGGAAGAATGACCTCCACTTGTATGCTGACTGTGACAGAGAGTTGATAACACAATCCCTCACCTGAGCAGATAACCGCTCAAGGGGTCGATCCCTCACAGTTTCCGGAGACGGTTGAGCAGAAAGACACTCTGTCTCTAAAGGCCCGGAGGCTGCCTAAGAGGCAGAGAACCGTCTCTTTCTGAGCCTCGGTATTGACAGCTGACTTAAAATAGAACTTCTGATTAAAAGCTGTCTCCCAACTGTACAATGTGATCCCATTAACCTGTGTCACAAAAATACACAGGGATTTTTACTATCCTTGCTCTTATTACTAAACCTAAGAAAACAGCAGTGCCGTGTAATTATCTACTATAAAACTATTGCCTAGTCACCCCCACACCAGTCTAGTCATCTTTTGGGATGCTCTAGTCTACCAAGCTGTGCCGGTGAGTACCCACCCGAGTGGGTTACAGTGCTATCGGATTGCTCTGCGCAGTTAAGCGACAGTGACATGGCTTCTGTAATGGCAGCCCCCCGTCCTTGGCAGAGTTTCCCGCCATAGCCTCGGGGAGCGCTTCACTTTAACAGTTCCCTGGCCCCTGCGAATGCGTTCTTTTGCATTTGATATAAAACGACTTCGACATGTATTTTAAGTCTCTTTTTCCAGTTTGGTTCCAGTAGAAAGGTCATAGTCACAGATTACACCACCATTGACGAAATGGATCTGAAGGACACTGGCTGTGTTTACATACTTGTTCTGTTGTCCTCCCTTGGCTAACCCAAACACTGCATGTACCTCTTGGTCATCCATTTCTTCCTTGTCGTTATCTGATGACTTCAACATTTGGTTTGAAACATTTGATGATGGAGGGAATACAAATTTATGTTACCTCTTCCCCGTCAAATGGAAATGAGGCAGATTTTGGTTTTACCGCCTCACCTCCTTCAATTTTGGGCCCCATTGTTTGTGGTACATGTATATATTTTGTTGAGGACCATGAGTATGGTGTTTGTATAGTGTTTGGTGGTATTGTTACATTTTGGGCTACCTTGACAGCTGATGATGTCCTCTGCTCCTCTAACCTCGGTGAAAAAGGTTACCAATAAACAGGATGCTTGTATCTAAAATGATGACACAGTTGTTCCTACTACTGCCATCTGAGACAGCCAGCTTCACCTCCCTCAAAGGTTGGACATCCTTTCTAGTTGTGGGGGATGGAGACCTTGTTCTCTCTGCCGTGCCTCTAAATGGTTCCGGGGACGCAGATGGAGACCTTAGATGGTATGCCTGGGTATTTCGTCCTTTGTCATTACCCCAACTGGCAGCACTGTTGTTGCCTCTCTCTGGTTCCCAGGGGGCCCGGCTAGGTTGACCTTGACTTCGATCTGTTGACCCTGTGCCAGGTGACTCCCCATGATATCCGGGTGAGCAGTTACGGTTTTGCAGGGGACCTTGTTCTGAGTATGGCGACCTATCTCGCCGTCTACCGTTGTACCTATTACGCCTGTTGTTCTGGGGTGGACGAGGGTAATGAGCCCTAGGTAATGATAATCTGGTGGTCGGTTCCCTTCATAGTTTTGAGGGGAACCTCGGACGCGTTCCGGAGAGCGGTAGTCACCCGAGGTGGAGGCAAGTTGGACGGGCAGACACACCTCCCGTGCTAAGTCGGGCCAGGGATTTATTTAGCTCCTGTAGTTCATCTTTTAAAAACTTTAAAGGGTTCTCCTCTATTTTGTCATCTCCCGACTTAGTGCCCTCAGCAAACTCCACCTGCCTACTAGGGTAATGTGGGGCGCAAGAACCAAACAGAGCATGCTGATTGGCCACGGAGGCCTTTATGTATTTCACACCTCTGTGAATCGTCTTAGGATTCCTTTCCATGGCTCTCTGTGCTGCCATCTTCTCGCGACAGCCTTTGAGGAACGCCTCTGTAGTGATTTGATTCCTCTGAAGCCATCTCCAGTTATGGTTTGAATCCGCTAGGCATATTCCGCTTAGCTCTCATTCTCCTCTTTTTTAGTGAAGTGCAGTTCTCTGTGTGCCACCAGTGGGACGTCCTTGTCACTGAAACGTTCCTTCATCTTCTTCTTGAGCTTAGTGTACCCAAGAGTTCCCGGAAGTTTATTGGCATACTCCAACGCATCACCCACCAGACAATAAAAAACCCTCTGTATAGTCTTACGGTCCGACCATCTGTTATCTTTTATTATTCTCTCGAATTTAAGAGCGAAGGGTTCGCATCGCTCCTTACCAGAGTAAGTGGGTATCTTGTGTTGCTGAGGACTTCTACTCCTTTGGCGATGCTTCTGGTAGTCATCGAAGGAGTCCTCTGAACACGTATCGCTGTCCCCCTCCTCCTCACTGTAGAAGTCATGGTCAGATTTGTCGCTCTCCGACGAATCATCACCTCTATGCCTTGCAGGGGCATGGCACGTTCCCTGTGATTGGCGCGTATGTCGTACACCTTACATACCTCCCATCCTTCAGGATAGCCTGCGGGATAGGGTCAAAACAGACCTCTTTCTGTTTAGGAACCATTGCTTGAGGGTCAGTATATGGTATACCCTCAGGTGGCCTGGAGGTAGACTGAGTTGTACCTCTATCCCCCCAGAGTGACCAGCTATTTGTTTGTTGTCCTTGACTACTGACATACTGACCACCCTTAGGTGTAGTCAGTAGCAAAGTGGCTGGATCAGAGATCTTCTTTGGAGGCGAGGCAGCACAAGCCGCCATGCTCTCCTCTGATTTTTAGCTAACCTAGTCCGAAGGACCAAGGTGAGCTTATGCCATACCACAGCATCCGTCGTCCGTCATCCGTCAACTTTACACTACTTGTCATGAACCACTGAGCGGATTTTAACAAAATTTGGTGTGGAGCATCCTTGGGTGAAGAAGAACCAATTTTGTATAAATGGTGGGTCTGGCCCCCCAGGGGCCTGAGGGGCGGGGCCAAATAGGGGAAATATAGCAAATTATTGTTTAAAATCCTTCTTCTTCTGTAGGAATGAAAAGGATTTGGTCCATATTTGGTCAAAAGCATCCTTGGGGGAAGGGGAACAAAGTTTGTATAAATATAGGGTCTGGCCCCCCTGGGGGCTTGGGGGCTGGGCCCAATAGGGGAAATATAGCAAATTATTCTTTAAAATCCTTCTTCTTCTGTACGAATGAAAGGATTTGGTCCATATTTGGTCAGAAGCATCCTTGGGGGAAGGGAAACAAAGTTTGTATAAATGGTGGGTCTGGCCCCCCTGGGGGCTGAGGGGCGGGGCCCAATAGGGGAAATATAGCAAATTCTTTAAAATCCTTCTTCTTCTGTAGGAATGGAAGGATTTGTTCCATATTTGGTCTGAAGCATCCTTGGGTGAAAGGGAACCAATTTTGTATAAACCATAGGTCTGGCTCACCAGGGGCCTGAGCCGTGGGGCCCAATAGGGGAAACAGCAAATTATTCTTTAAAATCCTTCTCCTTCTGTAGGAATGAAAGGATTTGGTCCATATTTGGTGTGGAGCATCCTTGGGGGAGGGGAACCAATTTTGTATAAATGGTTGGTGTGGCCGCCCTGGGACCTGAGTGGTGGGGCCCAATAGGGGAAATAGACGTAAATCTTCAAAATCCTTCTTCGGTAGGAATGAAAGGATTTTGTCCATATTTGGTCTGAAGCATTCTTGGGTGAAGGGGAACCAATTTTGTATAAACGGTGTGTCTGACCTCGCTGTAGGCAGAAAGGTGGGGCCCAATAGGGAAAATAGAGGTAAAACCTTTAAAATCCTTCTTCGACCATCGGGATTAAGGGATTTTATCCTTATTTAGTGTGGAGCATCCTTGGGGGACGGTGACTCAATTTTGTATAATTGATGGGTATGACCCCCGTAGGGGCATAGGGGTGGGGCTCTGTTTGAAGTTTGTTCTCTAAATCTCAAGTACTGGATGGATCTTTCTGAAATTTCATATGTACTAACAGCAACTACCATGGAGTGCTATATCTTTACTTCATACCAATTACTTTAGTTATATTCAGGTGAGCGATACAGGCCCTCTGGGCCTCTTGTTTAAGAGCCTCTGTCTCCAATGTTACCACTACGCGGGTAAGTCCCTAAACTGGACCTGCGGCTCTTTAAATTGATGCTGCATGTCCATCACTGCGTCCTGGTGTCTTTTGAGCCTATCCGCCTGTGATGAGGTCGACAGGGATGGTGACTGCACCTCTACAGGAGCAGTGACCATTATGCCCGTGATGATCCCACTGCAGAGCCATTTCTGCCACTTCTCAATGCCTATCCAGGAGTTTTTGTTGGGTGAGGTCGCCCTCATCTCTTATCCACATGATTTTCTGCACCATCGCAGAGCCTAAACCCTCCAACGTGCACAGCTCATCCTCTGTAGCTGAGCGTAAATTTATTGCAGCCATTACAAAATATGGACACTGACAGTATATCACCGTTGCTATTAGCATGCACGTGTATCTGTTCCATACAAAATTTAAACAACTACAAACATAAAACAATTAACAGTTTACAAAATAATTTCTAATTCCTAAAATAACTAAGCCTAGCTATACATATAAAAATTATCCTACAATATAAAACTTATAATCCTAACCTAATGAAAACTCAAGTTTCGCCTGTCATACGTATTCCACCAATATGGGCGGCCCACTATACAGGCGAATGGAGCTCCGCAATAAACTAACTAAATTAATTTAAATATAAAATGGCAGTGAATCCCCGACTCTGTATTACCCCTAAATAATTAAATAAATAACAATAAACTGATACAACTATCCCAAATTCTCTCACTTGTAATTCGTGCACTGATCACATAGGCAAGCGCGCGTGGTAAGCTAGAGGGGACTAGCAAGGTAAAAAGATATGTAAAACAAATTGACAAAATACGTCAAAATAGCGCCAGTTTGGACGCACTTCGACACCAAATGTCGTGAATTTGCTGTGTGCTATTGCACACCGTCACAACATGTAGTTGGGAAATGCTCTCAGGTACCAAAATCTATAAAAATAAAGCGGTCTAAGGGAGATAACTCTCGCAAAAATTCACCACAATATTACTGGTGTAATATGTTACAAATGATATTACCATATTTTCATATTCAGGTCATCAAACTGATGTAATCTAAACCAGATTCGGTTAAAAAAAGTCAAATAGAAAAAAAAATTGCTTAAATCCTTCATTTCACCATTATGGTAAAGTGAAGGGCCCCTGCCCCACCCTGATTTTCTCTACCCAAGACTTGATTTCTTTGATTTTCATATTCAGGTTATCAAACTGATGTAATCTAAACCAGATTTGGTTTAAAAAAGTCAAATAGTAAAATAAATTCTTAAACCCTTCATTTCACCATTATGGTAAAGTGAAGCGCCCCTGCCCCACCCTAAATATCTCTACCCCAGACTTAATTTCTGTGATTTTCATATTCAGGACATCAAACTGTTGTAATCTAAACCAGATTTGGTTTAAAAAAGTCAAATGAATCAAAATTACTTAAACCCTTCATTTCACCATTATGGTAAAGTGAAGCGCCCCTGCCCCATCCTGATTTTCTCTACCCCAGACTTATTTATTTTTTATTTTCATATTCTGGACATCAAACTGTTGTAATCTAAACCAGATTTGGTTTAAAAAAGTCAAATAGAATTATTTTTTTTGCTTAAACCCTTCATTTCACCATTATGGTAAAGTGAAGTGCCCCTGTCCCACCCTAAAGATCTCTACCCCAGACTTAATTTCTGTGATTTTCATATTCAGGTCATCAAACAGATGTAATCTAAACCAGATTTGGTTTAAAAAAGTCAAATGAATCAAAATTGCTAAAATCCTTCATTTCACCATTATGGTAAAGTGAAGGGCCCCTGCCCCACCCTGATTTTCTCTACCCCAGACTTAATTTCTGTGATTTTCATATTCAGGTCATCAAACTGATGTAATCTAAACCAGATTTGGTTTAAAAAAGTCAAATAGAAAAAAAAAATGCTTAAACCCTTCATTTTACCATTATGGTAAATGAAGGGCCCCTGCCCCACCCTGATTTTCTCTACCCCAGACTTAATTTCTGTGATTTTCATATTCAGGTCATCAAACTGATGTAATCTAAACCAGATTTGGTTTAAAAAAGTCAAATAGTAAAAAAAAATGCTAAAATCTTTCATTTCACCATTATTGTAAAGTGAAGGGCCCCTGCCCCACACTATTTTTGTTTACCCCTGACTTAATTTTTGTCATTTCAGATAGAATACATCAAATTGTAGTAAACTTAAAGAAAAAGAATGGAAAAAAGTTGTCAGAATAGAAATCGTTGGAACCCTTCATTTCACCATGGGGCGGTTCATATTACCATTATGGTAATATGAACCGCGGTTCATTTCACCATGGCCTTCATATTACCATACCACACCGGGTGTAATATATATGTATAACAAGTGATATTAGTGGTGTAATGTATAATTCTCAGAAAGCAGCACCTGACACATTTTTTAGCTCACCTGGTCCGAAGGACCATTGTGAGCTAATGCCATACCGCAGCGTCCGTCGTCTGTCAACTTTTCCTATAAAACGCTACTTGTCTGGAAAGGCCAATAGGGGAAATAGAGGTAAAACCTTTAAAATCCTTCTTCTACCGTAGGGATTAAGGGATTTTATCCTAATTTAGTCTGGAGCATCCTTGGGCCAAGGGGACTCAATTTTGTATAAACTGTAGGTGTGGCCCTCTTTGGGACAGAGAGGCGGGGCCGAATAGGGGAAATAGAGGTAAAACCTTTAAAATCCTTCTTGTACCGTAGTGACTAAGGGATTTTATTCTATTTTTAGCTCACCTGGCCCGAAGGGCCAAGTGAGCTTATGGCATGGTGCGGCGTCCGTCGTCCATCCGTCGTCTGTCGTCCGTCCGGCGTCAACTTTTTACTTTAAACAACTTCTTCTCAGTAACCAAAAGGCCTAGGGTATATATGATATTTGGTCAGAAGCATGCTTGGATGAAGGGCTACCAAGTTTGTTCAAATAAATGACCTTCGTCAATTTTCAAGGTCACAGGGGTCAAATATGTAAAAATCTTTACTCAACTTCTTCTGAATAACCGAGAGACCTAGGGTGATGATATTAGGCCAGTAACATGCTGGGATGAAGGGCTTCCAAGTTTGTTCAAATAAATGACCTTGATTTATATTCAAGGTCACAGGGGTCAAATATGTTTAAAACCTTTAAACAACTTCTTCTGAATAATCGAGAGGCCTAGGGTGATGAGATTTGTCCAGTAACATGCTTGGTTGAAGAGCTACCAGGTTTGTTCAAATAAATGACCTTGACCTATATTCAAGGTCACAGGGGTCAAATATGTTCAAAACATTTAAACAATTTCTTCTGAATAACCAAGAGGCCTAAGGTAATGATATTTGGCCAGTAGCATGCTGGGATGAAGGGCTACCAAGTTTGTTCAAATAAATGACCTTCATCCATTTTCAACGTCACAGGGGTCAAATATGTTTAAAACCTTTCAACAACTTCTTCTGAATAACCAATAGGCCGAGGGTGATGATATTTGGCCAGAAGCATGGTAGGATGAAGGGCTACCAGGTTTGTTTAAATGAATGACCTTGACCAACTTTTAAGGTGACAGGTGTCAAATGTCTTAAAATCTTCAAAAAACTTCCTCTCAATAACCAAAAGGCCCAAGGTACTGATATTTGGCCTGTAGCAATCAGGGCTACCAAATTTGTTCAAATGAATGACCTTGACCCACTTTCAACCTCATGTCATTATTTGACATTCAAGGTCACACTGATAATCTGCCTGTAGCTGTATTTTAGTCCACTTTTAAGATTACAAGTGTGAGATTAATACAAGGTGAGCGATGCAGGCCCATTGGGCCTCTTGTTGTTGCTCTATTTTGACATATATATTTGTAAAGGTGTAAATAAGATATATTTGATTAAAGAAAGTATGCAATCCTTTATATTAATACATTTCTATCTTTTCAGACTGTTCAAAATTTGAAAGCAACATTGAAAACAGCCATGGTAGAGACCATCAAGAAATACATTGAGCCTAAAAATATATATGATAAAATGTTTAGGGCATCTGGAGCTACATGGTGTGAAAATAACGGAACCTGTTTTCTGGAGGGCAGCTTACCAGAGATTCAATGTGCATACGGATTTATAGTCCAACTCATAGCTGGTGGAAATGTTGGCCGGGGCAACCAACAGAGAAGCAACACAGACGGAGATCGAGATGGTGCTGCCCAAGGTGGTACAAGGAGAGGTGAGGGACCAGATAGCCGAGGGAATGGACAGAACAGACACACCAATCCAGACATCTCTAACAGCGGAGTAGTGGAGTCCAAAGATGGTACAAGGGGAGGTGACGGACCAGATAGCCGAGGGAATGGACAGAACATACACACCAAAGATGTCTTTCATGGAGGAGCTAGAGGTTCTTTTAGCGACACCACCACGGGACACGAAAGACAAGGTAGTGATGGTAACACCTCTCTTCACCACAGAAACAAAAATGATGAAACCCAGTCTCAGGATAGAGAAAGTCATAGGGGAAGTAGGCACAGTCCAGTTTTTCATACAAATATCAACCACGATAATGTCACGCAAACTACAGAATCGAACAACAAATCTGTGAGAGGCAATGAAATCTTTCAGGACCAAGAATGTGCTCCTTATGGGAGAGAACATGTTGGTCACCCTCTTCAAAGTTTTGATGGAAATAAGCCTGATGATATAGAAACTAAACCACACACAACAGGCATCCAGGGAGATCCAAAAGGTTATAGGGAAGGAGCGATTAAGAAGACATTGTACAACGAGAGGGAAAGTAAGAACATTTGGTATAGTGATGAAGAGGGACAGCCTAGTGATATAGGAAATGCCAGCCTAATCAACAACAAAGGAAATCTTAGAAGTAAGGAAGCAAAGATGCATCATAGCGAGGAGTACCAATCAGGAGGGTTCGATAATCTGTCAAGAGAAAATGTAGATTATAATAATGCACCAAAGTTTCACATGTCTGATGATGGAAGGGAAAGAGGAGAGCATGACAAATTTGTTCAATCTAGGAAACGTACAGATGAAGGCAGCAGCATAGAAACTGTGACTTGTTCAGCAGAACAGTTCCACAAGATTTGCTTTTTTAATCCAGGAATTGAATCAGCAGCAAAAATTGTTTTCAATAAAAATCGTACAGAATGTAATATAACTGATTTGCATGGATACTTCAAGAAAGCAAAGAGTCAGCTGAGTTCTTATGCTAGAAGAGAAATTGACAATCTCTCTAAAACTGAGAGGGGAAAGTTCAAAAAGCATTTTGAACATGAGAAAAATGACATGGATGTGATGAAACTGTTTTGTGAGTACAACCCTAGTAGTAATCAAATCAGACTTGTTGGAGAGAAGTATGACGCTGTTCAGCAGGCTGAGCAAAGGATGTTGGAAGCCATTGGACGGACAGGAAAACCAGATCATGGAAAAGGATGTGGAATCCAACCAGAACAGTCATTAACAAAATCATCTTCAAAGGGAAGAAAAAGAAATTTGTCACCACCTGAACTGTTGCAGACAAAGAATGGAGTACGGATGTTCGTGTACCAAGCAGACCTCTTGGATCTAGACGTGGATGCCATTGTTTATGGAGCAAACTCTAATTTAAGCTATTCTAATGGTCTGCCAAAACAGATTGCTCAAGCTGCAGGTCCTAAATTTGAGGAAGCATGCAGTAATATATTCGCTGAAAGAGGTAAACTAAATGCTGGTGATTCTTGTTTTTCTACTGCTGGGCACCTTCACAATCAATACATCATCCATGCAGTTGCTCCAATGTGGAGTGTGTACAAGAAAGAGAAATTGCATGGAGAAAATAGGAGAATGTATCAGGATGATCTCTGTAAGACAGTCATGAATGCTTTGGAGGAGGCGGATAACATTGGAGCTAGATCTGTTGCCCTTCCTGCTATTGGTGAGTGTTGATAGTAATTTCCAAAACTGTTGTTAACATTTCAATTATATGTTGGTTTTTAGCTCACAAGGCCTGTCGTCCTGCGTCCGTCTGGCATCAATTTTTCCATTAAAACGACTTCTTCTCAATAACCAACAGGCCAAATGTCATGATATTTGGCTAATTGGTTGCTGGAATGAATCCCAACAACGTTTACGAAAAGAAATGACCTTGACCTATGTTCAAGGTCACAGGGGTCAAATTTGTTAAAGCCTTTAAACGACTTCTGATTAATCAAAAGGCCCAGAAGCGTGATATTTGGCTGATAGGTTCCTAGGATGAAGCCTTAAAAAAGTTTGCGGAAAGAAATGACCTTGACCCATATTCAAGGTCACAGGGGTCAAAGTTGTAAAAACCTTTGCACGACTTCTTCTGATTAACCAAGGTCACAGGGGTCAATTGTGTCAAACCCTTCAAACGACTTCTTCTAAAGAACTTAAATGTATAGAACCTTCATATTTGGCTGTTGGCTTCCTGAGAGTGAGTCCGACAACGTTTGAGAATGAAAATGACCTTGACCTGCTTTCAAGGTCACAGGGGTCAAATGTGTCAAACTCTTGAAACGTCTTCTTCTCAAGAACTGAAAGGAATAGAATATTTATAATTGGATGGTGGCATCCTGTGATAGAACCCAAAAGTTTGATAATGAAAATGACTTTGACCTACTTTCAAGGTCACAGGGGTCAAATGTGTCAAACCCTTCAAACGACTTCTTCTCAAGAACTTAAAGGTATAGAACCTTCATATTTGGCCTCTTGGTTTTCTGAGATTGAGCCCGACAAAGTTTGAGAATGAAAATGACCTTGACCTGCTTTCAAGGTCACAGGGGTCAAATGTGTCAAACTCTTGAAACGACTTCTTCTCAAGAACTGACAGGAATAGAATATTTATAATTGGATGGTGGCCTCCTGGGATAGAACCCAAAAGTTTGATAATGAAAATAACCTTGACCTACTTTCAAGGTCACAGGGGTCAAATGTGTCAAACTCTTGAAACGACTTCTTCTCAAGAACTGACAGGAATAGAATATTTATAATTGGATGGTGGCCTCCTGGGATAGAACCCAAAAGTTTGATAATGAAAATGACCTTGACCTACTTTCAAGGTCACAGGAGGAGTCAAATGTGTCAAACCCTGTAAACGACTTCTTCTCAAGAACTTACAGGAATAGAACCTTCATATTTGGCTGTTGGCTTCCTGAGATTGAGCCCGACAAAGTTTGAGAGTGAAAATGACCTTGACCTGCTTTCAAGGTCACAGGAGTCAAATGTGTCAAACTCATAAAACGACTTCTTCTCAAGAACTGAAAGGAATAGAATGTTTATAATTGGATGGTGGCCTCCTGTGATAGAACCCAAAAGTTTGATAATGAAAATGACTTTGACCTACTTTCAAGGTCACAGGGGTCAAATGTGTCAAACCCTTCAAACGACTTCTTCTCAAGAACTTAAAGGTATAGAACCTTCATATTTGGCTGTTGGTTTTCTGAGATTGAGCCCGACAAAGTTTGAGAATGAAAATGACCTTGACCTGCTTTTAAGGTCACATGTGTCAAATGTGTCAAACTCATGAAACGACTTCTTCTCAAGAACTGAAAGGAATAGAATGTTTATAATTGGATGGTGGCCTCCTGGGATAGAACCCAAAAGTATGATAATGAAAATAACTTTGACCTACTTTCAAGGTCACAGCGGTCAAATATGTCAAAAACATCAAACGACTTCTTCTCAAGAACTTAAAGGTATAGAACCTTCATATTTGGCTGTTGGTTTTCTGAGATTGAGCCCGACAAAGTTTGAGAATGAAAATGACCTTGACCTGCTTTTAAGGTCACATGTGTCAAATGTGTCAAACTCATGAAACGACTTCTTCTCAAGAACTGAAAGGAATAGAATGTTTATAATTGGATGGTGGCCTCCTGGGATAGAACCCAAAAGTATGATAATGAAAATAACTTTGAACTACTTTCAAGGTCACAGCGGTCAAATATGTCAAAAACATCAAACAACTTCTTCTGAATAATCGAAAGGCATAAAATTATAATATTTGGCTGGTAGCTTCCTGGGATAGAGCTCACCAAAGTTTGCAAATGAAAATGAACTCAACCTACTTTAAAGGTCACAGAGGTCAACAGCATTTCAAAGGATTTGTACTGAAGAACCAAAAGGAATGGGTTCATAAGATTTAGCTGGTAGCTTCTTAGAATAGAGCTAACAGAGTTTGAGAAGGAAAAGGACACTGACCTACTTACAAGGTCACAGGGAAACATATGTCAAACAACTTCTGAAGAAGAACCAAAAAGCATAGAATCTTATATTAATATTTGGCTGGTAGTTTTAACAATTGGAGCCGACAAAGTTTGGGAGGGAAATATTTGTAGTGCAATATAATATTTAATAAGAATATTTTGCTATGACTGCTTAAATATTCAGGTGCGCAATACAGGCCCCATCTGGGCCTTATGTTCAAGCCCACGTGCACTCCACATGTCGTATTATCATAATGGTATACCCTCTGTCCGTCCGTCTGTCTGTCCATCCATCCATCATTCGGTCTGTCCTTAGTCAATTCTTGTCAGTGCCGTTTCTCGGAATGTACTATAGGAATCTTTCTCAAATTTTACATGAAGGTTCCCTATTGTCCCTAGTTAGACAAACGTTAGACAATCTTAAATTTGAGAGATACAGTTTGTTAGCGCTTTTTATTTTTAGGGCTGATTGGAAAATCAAGATGGCCGTTTAGTGGCCATATCGAATTTAGGATTTAAAGATTGTTAGCGCTTTTTCACAAAAACATATTTAAAGCGATCTTTCTCAAATTTCAGATGAAGGTTTCCCGTGGTACTTAGTTATGGATATCAACTTTTTAGCACTTGATCACTTTGAGATCACTTGTGTGCTTTCAATTTGATGTACTTATTTTGACTTTCATGCAGTTTGCTTGCTATCACTTAAATCACCTTTGATACACTCATTGTTTAACAGGATATGGACAATGTCCGTCAGATGTACCGGCTGCTGCAGCAAGAGAAGCTGTCAAACTGTATTGTGAAAAGCACAAGAACTCCACATTGAAAGAAATCCACTTCGTGGACAGGAACGAGGATATTCTAAAGAAGCTTTCCGATTTGCTTCTGTGTTCCAGAGAATTGAATGTTGGAGCCTCATTTGTACATGGAACTACCAGAGTTAGCAGCCCACAAAATAAAGCTGGTGTTCCGCAAGGACCTCCAGTCTCACCACAAGTCTATCCAAAAGTCTATCCAAGTTTGATATCAAATCATGCCACTGGTGGAACATACATGCTGTCTGAACACCTAAGTGTGTGTATTATGAAGGGAACCTATGTTAAAACAAAGGCTACAGCACTTGTTAGTATTGAGGATGAACTATTTCAAAGTGAACGATACATTGCAAAGGAAATCAGTAAAGCAGCTGCTGGTAAACAGTACGAAAAGGAAATAGACACACTGCGAAAGGGAAATAGCCAATGCAAGATTTCAGATGTTTTTCTTACTGGTGCAGGGAAAATAAAGAATGCTTCACATGTACTCCATGTAATAGGACCAGTTGCTGACAAGACCATATCAGGAAATTCCGAATTGTTTAAGGGCTTTGCTGACAACACTAGAGCATGTATATTCCAAATTCTCAAGTTGGTTGATAAAAAGGAGCTGTATTCTGTTGCTCTGCCAACTTTCGCATCAGGTTTGTAATGCATTCTGTATAAACAATTTCAGTATTTAAAAAGAAGCATTAGATTATAAGTGTTTTAATAGGCATCAATATAGAGTAATGTATCTTCATTAGCTCGCCTGCCCGAAGAGCAAATGAGCTTTTGTCTGTCTGTCGTCATCTGTCAAATTTTCCTTTAAACGACTTCTTCTGGAGAATGGACAGGTCTAGAGTCAATGCTATCTAACTGAAAGCTTTGTTGAGATTGAGCCCGACAAAGTTTGAGAACGAAATTACCTTGATATTCTTTCAAAGTCACAGGGGTCGAATGTGTCAAACACTTCAAACGACATCTTCTCAAGAACTGAAAGTTATAGAATCATAATATTTGGCTGGTGGCTTCCTGAGGTGTAGCCCGACAAAGTTTGGGAATAAAAATGGCCTTGACTTTCTTTCAAGGTCACAGGGGTCAAACACTTCAAACAACTTCTTCTGAGGAACTGAAAGGTATAGAATCGTAATATTTGACTGGTGGCTTACTGGAGTATAGCCCGGCAAAGTTGGAGAATAAAAATGACATTTACCTATTTTCAAGGTCACAGGGGTCAAATTTGTCAAACACTTTAAACGTCTTCTCCTGAATAATCTAAAATCATAGAATTACAATATTTGACTGGTAGCTTTCTGGGATGTAGCCTGATAAAGTTTGCCAATGAATATAACCTGGACCTACTTTGCAGGTCACAGGGGTCAAATATGTCAAAATTTTCAAATGACTTCTTCTGAAGAACTGAAATGTTAACAATCTTTATATTTGACTGGTAACTTCTTTTGATAGATCCAACAATGTTTAATAAGGGAAATGACCTCGACTTGGTTACAGGGACAAATATGTCAAACACTTTAAACAACTTCTCCTAAAGAACCGAAAAGAACAGAATCATATAATAATATTTAGCTGGTAACTTCAATGGATGGAGCCAACAAAGTTGGCAATTCTGACGACAGTTTTTGTCAACTAATACATGGATGTACATGCATATGAAAGTGAAATTTGAGGACTTGGCAATGTTTGTTGTTACCATAACTGATAGCTTCTCCTATGAATTAAGCCCCAAATTTGTAAAGTCAGCCAGATGCGGGACATTGCTGGTTACAATAGGGATGCCTTATGTCTGCTTGAAATTTTGTCACCAAACTCAACAAAAACATTGGCAGCCAGGAACTTAATCATATTCATTTATAGCTTACATGGCCTTTAGAGTGACGTGAGCTTATGGTATGGTGCGGCATCAGTTGTTCATCTGTCCGGTGTCAACGTTTTCCTTTAAACATATTTTTGATAACTAAAACATCTAGGGTGATGATATTTGGTCAGTAGCATGCTGGGTGAAGGGCAATCAAGTTTGCTCTAATGAATTAACTTTACCCATATCTAACATCACAGGGGTCAAATGTTTGTCTGAATATCAACTTCTTCTGAATACCAAAAGCCAGAGGGTGCTGATATTTGACTAGTAGCATACTGAAATGCAGATCTATCAATTTTATCCAAATTAATGACCTTATCCAAGTTCAAGGTCACAAAGGTAAACCTTTAAAAAAACAAAATATGATTAAACAACAGGCCTATGGCGAGATGTTTGAATGACCTTCTACTAATCTTATAGTGACAAGGGCCAGATATGTTAAAACTTATTGTCAGCATAATCCTGTTTTCATACAGTCTCATACATCTCAGATATTTGTGATAATATGATATGCTTTCCTAAAGACCTAACGGCTTTATGCCATGGTGTGGCCTCCATAGCAGTCGCCAAATGCTTTTTCCTTCAGCAACTTCTTATTATTGATAATAAAAGTTTAGGGTCATGATAGTTTGCCACAAAATGTTCTCTTCTCTGTTAAATGGAATGACATTGTCCCACTTTCAATATCACAAAGATCAAATATTTTTTGCAACATTTCCACGACTTTTGTATAACCAATACTCCTAAAGTCATAATATGTTGCCCGTAGCATGCTTGGGTGAGATAACTATCAAGTTTTTGGAATGAATGACTTTTGGTCTGTAGCAGCTGTTCATGAGTGTGTACAGTGCTATGTAAATGACCTTTACCAAAGCTTTCATGACAGAATCACATGTGTTAAACAACTTTTAATTAAATAATGGGGCTAGGTTTATGACACTTAAACTCAAGCATTACTGGTTTACCTTGATTCTCATTGAAGGTAGTTTGTTTTGAGATTAAATCTTTATATTAAAACCAAGAGTAGAGACGTAGTATTTAATACGTACTGTAACTGCTTAGGGTTACACCCAGAAACGAAGGTTAACTTGTTTTGCACCCTACCAAATGAGCTAAGGATTTCCCCTTCAGCCGAGTCAGGATATAGCGACTAGTATTTTACCAGGGAGACTCCCTCTTTAAGAAATAACTCATTCTTGTCGTGTTTAGTTTCCAAGGGTTAAAGTAGTAAATGTTGTGAAATTAACACTGAGTGTTTTTGCCATTATTTTCTTGGTCACTGAGTGGGCACCAATGTAACGGAGGCTAGTATCTTTTCATTGTCTCTGCTTTAGGGTGTTGAGCCCAGAACCTCTGACTAACTAGCTTTATGCCCTACCAAATGAGCTAAAGAGAAATTCTCCCTAGCCGAGCAGGTAGTAAGCGGCTAGTATTTAACCAGGGTGGCATGTAGTGCTAGTTTTATTTACCTGGTACTTGCTGCCAAATTTAATCACAGAAATTTGACCTTAAAGCATGTTAAAAGCCACAAATGTGATATGTATTTGCCAAAAATATTGATTTCCAATACAGATTAGTGATACAGGCTAAATAAAATAGACCTATGTACTATCAAAATATCGGCCTCCTAGGTATTTAAGGTATTTGCTGAATAATTTGTGTTGTACATATGTTTTTTGTGTGGAAAAGATACCATCAGTGAAGTGGCCTTTTGTTTTAATTCAAGTTCGATGAAGTGAATATCTTTTCAAAACTTGTTTTGGAAAACTAATTTAAAATCTTCAAACAGAGGAAATATTAATATATATTTTTAATTATTCTAAAATAATTTAAAGACAACACAAATGCTTTACCTGTCAGCTATTTATGTTGTTTTCATCTACTTCTACCTTAACAGGTACACTTCAACCTGGACAAACAGACCAATTGTGGGAAATCTGTGTGGAAGAGGTCGAGAAGTTTGCAACCAGGCAAGATCAAAATTCAAAATTGAAAATTATTTTTCTAGTGGGCGGTTCTAATGAAGTACAGTTGTTATTACAACTATTCAGTTCCAAAGTATAAACAATGGATGAATGATTTTGTTGTTACTTGCTTGTAAATTGTGTACCAAGCCTGAACGTAAGAAAAATATGATGATCCATGGCAACGTGACCTAACACCACTATTTCAATTTATCCCCTCATTCATCAATGCGATTTTCATCCAGATTAGACGATTTCTATGATTATCAAGAATTCAATAATTGTAAAGAGGCAGAGCATGTGTTTAGGTATGACGTTTTTCGACAATCAAAAAAAAAGTTATTGATTAGAGTTCAAAAGTTTGTTCACTGAGGGCAAAATTTGAATGGTCTCTATTTCAAACTCATTGGTTCTTTGTGTCATCTTAGATCTTTCGTCGCTGTAAAACAACTATTTCATTACGATTGTACCAGAGACACTCCAGTGTTAAAAGGTGTCATTAACAATAGCTGATTCATTATCTACAAATAAGGCACGAGACAACACCCGAACTCTCTCTTGAAAGATATGTTTCCTTCCACGCAGTACTGGACGGTATTTGTTAGAAGTACTATTTGTTCCAAACCACAAACAGATTTGTATGGGAGCCTAGAACAATTGTGTTGATCTTTATCGATCACAATATATGGAAAACTGTGTCTGTCGTCACTATTGTATTAATGTAAACAACTGTCTTTGTCTTTGCAATCTGTAACTTGCCGTAGAATATCGCAAAATAATGGATTATAAGCCTGACGTGTGAGCTGTTATTTACTAAACATAATACAATGTCTAGGGATACGCCAGCTCATTGTTTGTTTGATTTTAGACATCCAGTTTTAGTTGCTCTTCATGACAATTGTATACAAATGATGTTAACAAGTATGCAATAAGGTAGTGTCACACAAGATTGGTGAGTTAAACAGAAAAATGTTTGTGTTGATTTTGGACACACTTCCGATAATAAACAGGACCTATTCCAGGTCGATGAGTACTGTTCTAAGTTTGTATATGGGTTCGTTGTTTGCTTAACTCACTTTCCAGTAGATATAGATATATTGAATAAAATGGAAATTGTTTGCGTTCTGATGGAATCAATTTCAGTCATATGAATATTTCCTTTTTTTCTGTTTCTTGTATGTTTCTTGTATGTTTTCTCTCGACACATATCTATTACTTGCCCTGTATTATAACTTGTTCCCTTTTTTCAACCTCTGATGTCTGAATAATAGTATTAACTATTCATTCATTGAAAATTTATGTCAATGAAGATAAATTGATGCAGAAAGCAAAAGCAAATATTAAGCACATTGTTGACCAGTTTAGGAACAAAACCATGTCTAAAATGTTCTATGACATTCTGTAGAAAAAAGCAGAAAGTTGTCTATATACAAGTACAAATTTACATCTTTAGGCTGCAACAGATAATATATTCTATACAAGAAATTTATGTAAATTGTGCTAGAATATATTCGATCTACAAGGTGACGGCTTTTGAAGGATCCCTGTACCACTGCCAAAGACTAAATAAGTACTCAGTTGATTGTTTGCTGTCAAAATTCTGAATGAACAATTTTTACACATACAGGACAGGTGATTTATCCAGCACTAGAACTGTTTTGGCTTTGTCATATCCATTTTAAGTTTAATGTTTTTATGTAAGTAGCCCACTAAAGCATTCAGACAGCACATACACGCAATGTTGATATACTGCAAAAATGATTAAAAATAATCAATTTCAGTTAATCATGACAACGGTGAGGGTATTTCCTTTATTTATCTACTTTTTGTGGTGTATTTCACTTATACACATGTAGTGTCCTGTTATGTTTCCCAGTACAATTTTACGTGAAATTTCAGAACCCAAATGAAAGCAAATTTATATATAAGTTGTAGAGTATGTCATTAATATGATTATATAGATATTGTGGTGTATGCATCTATAATAGTAATACTAAGTATATTTAATAGTAATCTCCCATCAAACATATTTTTCATTGGATAAACATTATGTAAATAGATACATCAACAAAGATGTAATAACGACATTGCAGCTGACAATGGAATTCATCAAATTCAACTCAGCCAGATGAAGGATATATGTTTACGTCAGCATATTTTGTTATAACTGGTTTTGTGTGATATACATGTATTTTGTGATGTAGTATTGTTTCATGGTTACCGTTAATCTGTGTATTATATGTAATATGCAGTTGTTCATGTTTGTGTCTTGCTAAAGGGGCAGATTGCCATGGAAATTTGACAAACTCCTGTGTCTGCACTGTCGATATTACTTGTTTTGCTTGTATATCTATATATATATATTGTGTGTATATATGTGTATCATTCATTACTGTAGTTGTTGAAAACATACATGAAACAAATATTTAAATGCCAATGTTATTAATTGCTTTAACTACAGCTGATATGAAATGTAGTGTGTTTTTTATACTGTGCAGTGTCTCATTAAATCAAAACAGTTCAAATATTATTGTTAAAGACAAAAACAGTTAATTAATGTGCCTGAGCAATCATTACAGTACACCTGTCAACTCGCAATGTACAGTCATAAAATATTACCATAATTAATAACCCATTTCAATGATCCTTGGAGGTTAATAACCATTGACTTGACAATGAAAAATTAAATGATATAATGTAAGATTACACTGACATTACTTAAATACAAGGTAAAATAAATTTATTGTAAGCTAGAATAATCGGCCATATTTTGGTAAAAATACAACAGAGGGCTGCCTCTCAAATTGCCGTTCTTGCTATGATATGAGAACAAACATCATTGTAAATAAAATACAAGGGGTCATTAAAAGCGTGAGGCATGTTATTCATATTCGAGATATTGAGTTCTAGCATTAATATGAAAACTTAAATCTCTCTGCAAGTATTTGCAGCAAGTACAGTAGGGTATCTGATCCACATTTAAACAAGTATGCTTTTCGTTATTGTTTGTATATTATCCTTTATATTGCATTGTTTTTTTTGGAATAACCTCTACCTTGCAACTTTATTCATGATTTGTTAAACGTGTTAACACGGTAATGAAATAAAAATCATGAACTTGATGATCACAAGTGTATAGATATTAGAGAGATAATTCAAAGAAATAAGTACACTAATATATTTATCTTACAAATAACAAGTAGGTTAGAACTGGTGTGATCATATGTAAAATAAAATTGTTTGCATTATACATTTGTTTGACTATAACAGTATCATTATAATTCTATTTCAATATTTTATTATGATTTCAACTATGGAACTAATTAAATATCTGTATTTTATATAGTGCCTGATACTTTATTTTTGTTTTATTTCATTTATATATTATACCTTTTGTGGATACACTAATTTCTTTTTTTTTCATATAAATTAAAAAAGACTTCGATTATTTGAACGATGGTTGACAGCTTAAAAAAACATATTTTTGAAATTATGCCTCGTACTCGATTAAACTGTAACAATTTTTTTCCTCAAATTGGTAATTTGGTAAAAATCACCAGTTAAAGCAAGCAAGGCAGACAAGCGGCCATACAAAGGCCATTGGCGGTTTTCTTTTTATAATTGAACATTTTAATTATAAATTGTCATGCATATGTGATAAATTCATGATAATTAGAAAGGTACAAATATTAATTACCCTATCTATTTGAATTTCTTATGACCATTATTGTTAAACCTGTCATGATTACTAAATGTGATGTGAATTGCTCTGTGGTTGCTTCATTTTAATTTAATTTTTCGTTTAGACTAAATTTTTAAAATGTTCCTGGTCGTTAAAATGATAAAGAACGACCATCAAAAAGAAATAGAAATTAATTCTAATAGTCACTTACTCACTGTAAAGAATTCTGTATCGATAACTCTTCCACCTCTTGACATCTCGTTTTACTCTTTGGATACGCTAAAAAGACATATTGTACTAAGCTATTTCAAAATGAAGTGTTTGGTAGGTTCTGTTTTAGAAAGCCGGTCATTTATTTTCTTGAGTTGCACTGCTGGTAGTGTTAAAAGCATTTGACTGATGCTATAGTGACTTCAGTAGTAGTGAATAACATAATCACTTTATGTATTTCATTTAATCAATACAACTTATGGAGTTCAATACATGTAGTACAAGACTGATGTATGTTATATACTATAAGTGGTACATGTACGCGTCGTGTTGAAAAGCCCCTGACAAGCAAGTAGTGCCACTAACATAATATCTATGGTATATGTAAAGCTGTGAGTGATGACATATTTTAAGGTGTTTAATAAAACGTGATGTTGATAGATTGCATTTTCTTCATAGTTCTAGTGGTTGTTTTGCCTCAGCTATGTAACTTGTAATGTATTGCCGCTGGTGATCTATAACTGGTGGCACTGTCTTTCGAGCAATGGCATTTGTAATTGCAGATACTTTGAGTAAGAATGCTGGTAGTGTTTAAAAAGTTGAAGACTGGAGTTTTACTATGAGGGTATTCGATAGCTGTTTTTAATGTATTTCTGTGGTTTGTATACCAAGGGTTGTGTGAAATAAATTTGTATTCTATGATAGTTGCAATTCAAAGAACAAAAGAAAGAGTTGAAACATCAAGAACTGTGACGTATTGCCTTTGGAGTGATACCACTAGTAGCGTTGAAAAGACCACAGATGGCGACGTATTGCCTTTGGAATGATACCATTAGTAGCGTTGCCAGTCTAAATCTGGTGACGTATTGTCTTTGGTGCGATACTATTAGTAGTGTTAAAAGGTCAAGAACTGGTGACGTATTGTTTGAAGCGATACCATTAGTAGCGTTGAAAAGACCACAGATGGTGACGTATTGTCTTTGGTGCGATATTATTAGTAGTGTTAAAAGGTCAAGAACTGGTGACTTATTGTGGTTGGAGTGATACCATTAGTAGCGTTGAATAGCTGGATACTTTTATCATACTATTGCTTGTAACTGCTAACCTATTTATAATGTATTTGTTTGGGTTGTATACTACCCATAGTGTGATTTTTTTATCCTGAGATAGTTGTATTGCATTTCAAAGTACACCAGGTACAAGGTAGACAAATCGAGAAGTGGTGATGTAATGTTGGAGTAACACCACTAGTAGTGTTGAATGGCTTGATACTTTTGATGTATTGCCATTTACTGGAATACCTCTACTTGGTTTGAAAAGCTTAGATTTAGTCTTACAGCAGATGGTACTGCCTTTGGTGCGGTTTAT